GGGGGTGGGGTGGGGAGTGCCGCCCTGTAGTGTCGGAGCCGAGCCCCTCCCTCTCCCGGCCAGACTCGTCTTCTGTGAGACTGGGCACCCTGACTCTAGGACCCAGTCCCCCCCTTAGCCCAAAGCCACAACACCCAAGTAGCACCAGATGGCCCTTGGGCGGCTCCTGGGCATCCCAGGTGACGCGGCCCAGCCGTGTGGGCGCTGCAGCAGGGCTCCAGGCTCCAGAGCAGGCTCGGGGCCGCAGCTGACCAAAGTGCAGATCTGCTCTTGGGGTTGGAGCAGAACGTGGAGTTTGGCCAAAAAGTCCGCCATGCCTCCTCCCCGGGACAGGAGAGGTGGGTGACTGACGGAGGGTCTGCCTGGCCAAACTCGAGGGGCCCCTGAAGCCCCCCCAGCCATCAGCGCATGTCCTGGGAGGCCCAGCGAGCCCTTCAGCGAGCGGCCCCCACCCTGCTGCAGTCAGCACCCTCCCCCCAGGAGGCCGCTCCCCCGCCCGGCTTCCCAGGTCCTGCCCACGGCCCGGGCAGGGGGAGCTGGGTCGTGGCTGCCCCTGAGACCCCGCGTGGGACCCCTGAGCCTCTCGTGAAGGTCCTGAAGGGCGTCTGGCAGGGCCTGGCAGGTGTCCCCGAGCGCTCTGCTCTCCACGTGACCCCGAAAGTCCTCCATCCTGACTGACCGAGGGGTGGTCACCCAGAAAGGGGCCAAGAAGAGCCAGCAGCGCCCCATGGCCATCCCTTCACAGAGGGGTCCCCCCACCTGGCCCCCGGCTCTGGCCTTGGATGTTCTTTCTGCTTCCGGGACGCAGGTGTGTGTCTTGTCCTTCTGGAATGTTCTTCCCCCCCTTCACCAGGCTGTGGCCTCACGTGCCAAGGCCTCTGGGGCCCCCCAGCCCTCGAGGCTGCCCGGATCCCAAGGCTCTTGTGGAAATGGGCCTGAGCCCTGCATTTCCAACTGGTTCCTGGTGACACTGATTCCCGGTCCTGGGGCCACACCCGGGGCCAGTCACCCTCACCACCTCTGGAGCTGTCCTGGGCACACAGCAGACCGTGTCCCTCTACAGCTGCCCACCAACCGGCCAGCTCGAGGCGCCCTCCCTGGGCCGCGTGGCTGGACGAGTTCCCAAGCCCTCTCAGGAGAGCCAGCGCAGACCCATGGCCCCACCACCTACACCCGGGGAGAAGCCCAGAGCCCGATCGGGCACCAGGTGAGTCACCAGGGAGGGCATGGCCACCACACTCCTGGGACAGCTCCTCCCAACCGGAACTTCCCACAGCAGGGGACCGCCAGCAGCGTCTGTCAACCGGGAAACCTGCCAGGAGATCCGCCTCCGTGGACGGCCATCGGCCTCCAGACCCGGCTGCCCACTGTCAGGGGCTGACCCGGGGCTTGGCCTTGGAGCTCTGAAACGACAGGTGCCTTTGCCCACGGTCCTGCTCTGACCTGGCCAGCTCCACTCTGGCTGCCCCCCGACTCTCTGGCCCTTTCCCCAGCCTGTCCCCTGTCTACCAAAATGGGGAGCTGATTCAGCGGGTCAGCCAGGCATCCGCAATCAGGGCTGCTCCATCCCCCGTGGAGGAGAGGGCAAGATGGTGGAGGAGAGGGCATGATGGCAGAGCCGGCCCTGGAGCAGGGAGCAGGGCCTGAGTGGACCTGTGTCCCCTGGGTGTGCACGGGCTGAGCAGCGGCTCCTCGCAGACCAGCCGCCCGTCCCTCCCAGGGAGCCGGGTGTAAGCAGCTTCAGTCACAGCAGGCCCCGTGGGGGGACGGTAGCGGGAGCAGGGTTGCCGTGGCAACGCAGAGACTGGGGGTGGCTGGCCATGGTAACCAGGGCTGTGTTGACCTCCGCCATCTCCCACTTCTTTCCCGATGCCGTCCCCGAGCCTGGTGAGACTCGCTTCTGGGGGAGACTGTTGAGGGACGCCGACCTCCTGTCCTCTCACCGAGGAACGGCTGCCCCCGGAGGTCAGTCTCTCAGGGGGCCACCTTGCAGCCCCAGGCCAAGCCCTGCCCACTCTGAACTTTCACCCCACACACCAGGGGCCACTCCCGTGGCTGTCTGAGAGGGCAGCCAGGCGAGCCAGGTGGCTCTGAGTTCCAGAAGGGCGTGACACAGCTTGAAAGCCACATGGCCGGGCTGGGCTCCCGCCCCTTAGCTGTGTGACCTCAGACGGGAGGCTTCCCTCTCTGAGCCCTAGCCTCGGTCTCTGTGAAAGGAGGGGTCACGGCGCACTTCCCGTGCACACTTGTCACGGTCACTGAAGGCAGGCAGCTGGAGGCTTCCGGTGGCCAGTTTCTCTCCTGACCACGGGGTGACCCTGCGTTTCGACGTCGCGGTCCCAGCTCCCACCCCCGGGAGACCTCCCTGGCCCCAGGCTGGAATCCCAGGCTGGCCACTGCGTCCCCCCACCCCTTCAGGATGTAGTGTCCATGTTGGGTTCAGGCTGCCATCGGAAGCCTTGCCCTTGTTGGGGTTCACGGAAGAGAAGAGAAGGGGACAGGCCTCCCCGGGCCGGGGATGCTGGGTGGGCCAGCAGCCCTCCTTGCTGGTCCAGGGACGGCAGGGGGAGGCCAGGCCAGCGTCCCTGAGCTCAGGTCACGTCTCAGGCCGTGGCTGGGCTCCTCGGTTCCAGGATTCCCTAAAGACTCTTCAGCTCGCCGCTGCCCAGGGTTTGCTCCCTGTGGGCACAGCAGGGGCGCCTGGGCGGGGGCTGCCACGCCTGGGGGCTCAGGAAGCGGCCGGGCCAGGAGGACCTTGGCCATGGGCCCTGAGAAGGGGGTCTCTGGACTTCCTGAGCCCCCCCAGGTGCCCAGGCTCTGCGGGGTGGTGTGAGCCCCGGCCCAGGGCTGGGCACTCAGGGAGGGGCTGCAGGGGTCCTGGCTGTGCAGACCCTGAGGGGAGGGCCTCGGGCCTAGGGGACACCCCTGGGGACATCAGGGAGGGGGTCCAGGGCCCAGGAGGAGGGGGACCGGCCCAGCCCTTGACGGGCTGTAGCCAGCAGAGGGCCTTGGTGGGCCCCTCTGGGCTCGCTGGAGGGACCCAAAAGCACAGGCCGGGGACAGTGGACGGCACCAGTGTGAGGCCACGAGTCGCCGGGGCCTGCGAATGCCCACTTCCCCTCAGAGCTCCGCCAGGGCCCTCCTCCCAGCCAGGCCGGGTGGACCCAGGAGGGAGGCCTCGGGCCGTGGGCAGGCAGGCGGGGTGGGCACTGCCCAGGGACGCAGGCTTCTCTGCTCCGCTCTCACCAGAGACGGGCCCAGGACCCTCAGCCGCGCCCTTGTCCAGCCCTCCCTGCCCCCTCCTGCCTGGAGGGCTGCCAACCCCAGTGGACTCCCTGTCCAGCTCCCTCCAGGCCAGCCCCACAGGCCCATGGAAGTGTCCCAAGGCCCTTACCCGGGCATTTCCCTCTGCTCCAGCCCAGCAGATGCTTCCCTGCCCGCCACAGGAAGTTCATTTGCCAGGCTGGTGTAGGCTGTAGCAGATCAATTCGGAGGAACCTACATTTTTGAGGGGGATATTTTTGCTCATCATATCTGAGAAATATAACAGCTGGTGAGCTTCCGGCTGGTCGAGCCTTGAAGTTCAGCTACATCCAAATGACTGGTTTCTTTCGGGTCCACTTCTTTTACACTCTCGCTGTAGTGGCAACTTTATTCTCATATGGGCCTCCCTCATGGTGGCAAAGCGGCTGCAGTGGCTCCAGGCTCTATTCCACATCTGAAAGGCAAGAGTAAGCTTTCTTTACAGAGCTCCTATTCCGGTCATCAATTTCTAATACAACAAATCACCCAAGCTTTGGGGCTAGTAAAGGTCCCTCATGGACAGGGCTCAGCAGGGACAGCTCATCTCCACTCTACATGGTGTCAGCTGGGGCAACTCAACTGGGGCCTGGAGAATCCTTCCCCGCGTGGAGGCCGCCCCGGCGCTCAGTGTGCTGCCTGGGTTCCAGGGCAGCCAGGCCCAGGGTGCGGTGTTGCCGTGACCTGGCCTCGGACATCACACGGGACCCCACCCGTGGTCCCTGTCGGGAACAGCAGTCCTCAGAGCCTTTCTGGTGCAAGAGGAGGCCGCAGACTCACCCCCATGGGCGGGAGCAGCTGCAGGGCCATCGTGGGAAAGGCCATCTTCCCCAGCCTCCGGGAAGGCCGTGTCTTCTGTGTTCTCACAGGGCCTGCTCGGGGCCAAGGCCCAGCACTGAGCTGATACGCCAGGCCAGAGGGGGACGGTATGTCCCTGCTGGAGCCAGGGGAAGAGTCAGCAGGGCTGTGTGGGAGGTGGATTCCACATCAAACCAGCGCACGCCTGTGGTCCAGCTAATCAGGAGGCCCAGGCAGGAGGATGGCTCAAGCCCAGGAGGTGGAGGCCAGCCTGGGCAACATAGTGAGGTCCGCCTCAAAGACAAACAAATCTATGCTCAAAAGGAAAAAAAAGACAAGTCAGTCATGGGGCAGCTCAGGATGCAGCGGGTGACCCGGGCCAGTGTCCCAGGCACTTTCGACACCCGGTGGCCCTGCTACGTGCTTACTGCTCGTTGCTCAATTACCTCTCACCACAACATCAAGACCAGGGCTAGGGTTCTCCAGTGTTTGTCACGTGCCCAGAGTCACAGGCCAGGAAACAGTGGAGACAGAGCTGAGGGTCAGCTCTGTGGGAGTCTGGGTCCGCACCGTGGGCCTCTCCACAGCAAAGTTCACAGCTTCTGATCTGCAACTCAGTGTGGACCCATGTAGCCTGGTTGTGCTGGCAGCCATTTTGTGACCACGAGGTGATCCGATTTGAGAAGGCAGCAGACACCCACAGGAACGGCAAGCCCGGATCCAGCCTGTCGACATCTGCTCTCCCTGGGGACAGTTCAGTTAGGTGATCCAGCAATCTACTTACCTGTTGGGGACCATGGTCTGGTGCACAGTTACTTACAATTGAGATGATTGTCACCGGCTCAGGAGGCAGCTGTGACGTCTTTGCTATCTCTCTGTGGAACCTGTCCCCTGGCTTCGACGACCGGCTGCCAGGAGCAGGGACAGGCCTCATGAGCACCTCTGTCCCCAGAGCCTGCCACAGTGGCCAATGCTCCTTTTTTTTAGTCCATGCTTGGAAAGAAGACAAGAGCAGGTGGGCGTCCATCCGCAACGTGTGGCCGTCCATCAGCCCCCCCCCACCAGGGATCTCATTTACTCGTCTTCAAAGCCCAGATCAAAGCCCACCTGCCAAGGCGTGCCCAAGGTGCCACTCGGTGACATGGGGAAGAAGCCAGGCGCGTCCCCTGAGGGCAGCAGGCTGTGCGGGGCCTTGGCCCTGAGGGCCTCCTACAGCCCAGAGATGGCCACCGGGCTGGGGCCGGAGGAGGTGCCGTGGCCTGGGCAGACCTGGGGCGCCACACGCTGCCCTGAGGGCAGGCCGGGAAAGGGTGCGCAGGACGGGCAGCAGGTGCTGTCTCTGGGCACATCCCGGACACTCCTGGGGCTTCGGGGCTTCCTCCTGGTGTGTGCGCAGCTGAGGAGCAAGGGCCAGGCCTCTCCACAGGGAGCCTGGATGGCAGGGTGCCGGGCGTCAGTCCTGTGTCCTCTGCTCCCAACCAGGTGGCGGCTGGCTTCCGTTCCGCTCAGGCTGGGTCCTCTGCGTGGGAGGGGTGGCCCCTAGAATCTGGATGCTGCTCGAGATGCTGCTGAGCCAGGGGGACAGAGCTGCAGCCGTCTCCTGACCACAGTCCCCTGGAGGAGCCGGAGCCAGCGGGCGGTGGGAAAGGCCCGGCAGGCCGCCAGGTGTGCTCTGCGGAAATCAAATCATTTCTGCAAGAAGTGCCTGGACAGGTTTGGGGCTGGTGCCCTGTGACGGGGACCTCTGACCTGACATCGGCCCACAGCTGAGTCCCCGGGGCCAGAGGCAAGAGCGCGGTCCCCTAAGTTGGGTGGCGAGAGGCGGGGCAGGAGGGAGGGCACTGGCGGCCAGGGCCTCTCCCGCCTCAGGGTCTCCTGGCACTTGCTCACCTCTGCCAGGAAGCCACCTGCAGTCCAGAGCGGCTCCCGGCTCCTGCCCTCCAGGGGCCACCCCGGGGCCTGGGTCAGAAAGAGCCGCCCCTGAGCCGAGGCCGGGGGACAGGCGTGAACGTGCAGTCCCCTGTCGGGAGGGTCCCAAGGCATCAGACCGTCGAGAGCCCAGTGAGGCCACCGGCAGACGGGGTCTGGGCTGGGGCCACAAGGCCACCACTGACTCGTGGGTGACCTGCCCGGTCTTCTCCAGCTCACGTCACGGGTGCTGGCGCTGGCCGGCGGTGCCCTGAGCTGCGCTGGGGAGGCCCATCCTAGGGTCCACGTGCGCACGTGGCTTTGCCGGGTCTCCTGTGGCTGGGCAGGCCCTGGACCCTCCGTGACCTTGGCCCGCCTCCGGGGTGCCACTCCCACCCGCCCCAGAGGATGCCTTGGCGTAGCCGGGTCACCCAGACCCAGGGCTCCCTGACCGCCGGCCTCTTCCTGCCTGCGGGCCGCCCTCCGCGGTGTCGGCTCCAGTTCCTTCTCCGGGCACTTGCAGGCTGCAGCCTGGGTGGAGGGAGGGTTTCGGCAGCGCTGACGGATGGCCAGGCCAGCCTCCGCCTGCGGGCTGCCTGCTCCTCCAGGTCCCAACGTGAAGACCTGGGCTCCCCTGGTGGACAGGAGAGGAGCCACCCTGTCAGACCCCGGGCGGCCGGAAAGGGGGTGCAGCTGCCCCACAGAGGCCCTGCCCCTGGCCCTGCTGGTGGCTCACCGCCGCCGAGGCCGGTCCGCACAGGAGGGGGTCAGCTCTCTCTCCCTCGGGCCGGATGCCAGTCCACCACACGGGGAGACGACGCTGCACTGTCCCCTCATCATATGGTGGACGCTGGGCTGTCCCCTCCTCCGGGCTGCAAGGGGTCCCCCAGACACAGGGCAGCCTCTCGGGCAGCAGGTGCCCTGTATCCCCAGCCCCCAGGGACGAAGCCCTCAGTGGAGCAGCGCTGACCCAGCCCCTGCTGAGGGCCGGACCCCAACCTGCTCACGGCAACACCTCCCCCCAGACGCCGAAGGGCGCAGGTCCTTAGTGCCAGGTCTAGAGGAGCGAGGGGTTGGCCGCGGTCATGTGGAGGCCCTCCGCCCCCAGGCCCCGCAGTGCCGGCTGTGGCCAGAAGGCCGCCATCGAGTGGCCTCCGGACTCTTGGAGAAGGCCAGCCTCCCCTCCCCCCTGCACCCCACCCCTGGGACGCCGGCCGCCTTCCTCAGGTCACAGAACCCTGCAAAAAGCATTTTCTTTGATGGCCCATATGAAAGCGGCAGCCCGACACGCCTCCCAGGGGACAGGCAATCCCCGTGGCTGCCCAGGAGGCGGGAAGGACAGGCCAGGATGCTGAAGAGGGTTCCTTCCCCTCCCATTAAGGTCATCGGCCTAGGGGACGGAGCCCCAGGGACCTTCTGGGGACAGGACCTCTCAGGCCGATGGACTGTGGCCACCAGGCTGGCAGACGTGGTGGCCTCCAGGGCCCAGACCTTGGTGCTGAAAGACCTAAAGGTATTGGTCTCATGGGCAGGTCAGCAGGGGCCCAGCCTGTCCTGTGGCCTCCTGGGGGGGGGGGCTCTGGCTTCCCTCGAGAGCAGGTCTGTCCTTCAGACCCCCAGGCCCTGGCCGCCAGTTGGTGCTGCTGAGCACACCATGGAGTCAGGCCCCATCGGATCACAAGAAGGTGACCTAGAGAAGGACGGGAGACATGGAGGATTGGGACTGAGGGCTGGTGGGCGGGGGCGGGAGGCCACGGGGCTGGGGGCAGGGGGGGGGAGGGGGGGCAGAGGGCCGAGGCCTGCTGTCCAGCGCCCCCTGCCTGTGCGTTTGCCGGGTTCCGCGCTCCTGTGTGCTCTGAATAAAGCCACTGGGGCTGAACTTCCAAAGGTCTGCCCTCACCAGGGCACCTGCCTCCAGGTGAGGTGTCCCCCAGCCTCTCCCTTCCCCTGGGCTGCCAGTGCCGCTGCTGCCCGTTCCCAAGGAAAGTGTCCAGGGGGTAGTTCTGGGCAGAGAGGCCTCGGATCTTAACTGAGAGCGACAGGTCGGCTGCGGCTGGGGGAACCCTGCCAAGGGTGTGCATAGGCAGCCCCGGGGGTGCAAAGGCGGACCAGGGTCCAGGGGACAGGCGTGGGCCTGGGCCCTGGCTCCAGCAAGCGCTGGGCCACTCAAACAACCTGCTTTTCCCCGACCCCTTCATAGCCCTCGTCACTGAGGCCTTGGTGAGTGCTGGACGCTGTCCTGGGACCTGGCGGGACCCCAGGGTCCACAGGAGTAGGCTGAGACGGCGACCCAGAGGCCACGCAAGCACACAGAGTCACACAGAGGTTCTGTGGGTCTGAGCCCCGTCCACGGCTGCAGTCAACTGTGCTGTGCCTCCATGACACAGCGGGATCGAGAGCCGCTAACGGGAGGGAAGGGCGCGTGGTAGGCATTCCGTAAACCACAGGTGACCGTGACACTCCAGGTGCCCCCCCGGCCCACCCAGAGAGTCCAGGCTTCTGAGGAACTCGAGGGGAACTGGGCAGGAGGCGGAGGACTGGCCACTGGCCCTGAAGACTTGAGCACGGAGACAGGGACTCAGAGCAGCGTGCTGGCCGCCGGGTTTTCCCCAGGAGAAAAGGCTGTGGCTAGATAAAGGGTCGCAGAGTAGAGGAGGTGCCACTCTACCCCAAGAAAAGCCCTTCTGCCTCTGGATGAGGATCTTCTGGGCGGACACTGCTGAGCTGGACGGGGGGAGATTTTGTTCCTGGTGGGGTCTGGAGGCTGAGGCAGGAGGATGGCGAGTTCAAAGCCAGTCTCAGCAACGGCAAGGCGCTAAGCAACTCGGTGAGACCCTGTCCCTGAAAGTACAAAATGGGGCTGGGGATGTGGCTCCGTGGTCGAGTGGCCCTGAGTTCAAATGTCTGATACCAAAAAACAAAAAAAAGGGGGGGCGTGAGTTGGAATTTTTCATTAGAAAAACCAAGGCGTCAGAGGAACGATCCTGCCACAGACGGATGCTGATGTAGGCACGGTGGGCAGGCCCTCCCCGCGGCTCAGAGAGGGACAGTGAGCAGCCCCTCCCTGTGGCCTGCCGACCACGCTGCTCCCTCCCCACCCTCTCCCTGTCCGTTCCCAGGTCCTCCAAGAAACCCCGGCTCTGAGTAAGAGATGGCCTCTGGCTCCTGGCGGGAACATGTGTTTCCAATCTCTGCTCCGCTGAGTCACCACCAGCAGCTGCTGCCCCGCTCCAGCACGCTGCTCACCTCGGACCCTGCTGGCCGCCGGCCCCGCCCCACCCGCCCTGCCCAGCCGGCCTGCCACCCTCAGGCCTCTGGCACGCTGGCCTCCCCATCTAGGACCGCCCACCCGCGGCTGGCCCTGAGTCCACCTCCAGCTCTCTGAGCTGTCAGTCCGCCCAGGCAGCCCGCCCCCAGCAAGGCTTTAGTGCCACCATTGTCACCAGGCTGTTCCCACTCCTTGAAACGACCTCTTTGTCTATCTTCGTGCTCAGGGACGGGTTGTGCCATAGGACGGGAGGGGCCCCTTTTGTTCCGTCCCTGTCCGGCTCCCACTCGGGTCTCCTGGTCAAATGAATGAACAGATGAACTGCGACCTTTAGATCTAGACCATTGGGCCCGGTGTGGTGGCCACGCCCGTGATCCCAGTGACTGGGGAGGCTGAGGCAGGAGGATCACAAATTCAAGGCCAGCCTCTGCAACTTAGCAAGGCCTGTTCTAAAATAAAATTTAAAAAAAAAAAAAAAGGACTGTGGACATAGCTCAGTCATAAAGTCCCTCTGGGTTCAGTCACCAGAACCAATAAAAAGAAAGAGAAAGGTGGTGACAAGTGTCAACCTCCACCCGTGTCCGGGTGACTCCATCTCCACTGCACAGGACCAGATCCCACGTGGGCCTCCCTAGTGCTGAGAGCAGCCTGCCTAGCCTTCCTCTGGCCAGGCCTTGGGCACGCACACCCGGGGGAGTGTGCAGGGAGAGCAGCCTGCCTAGCCTTCCTCTGGCCAGGCCTTGGGCACGCACACCCGGGGGAGTGTGCAGGGAGAGCAGCCAGGCAGGGGCCAGGGACACCTGGGCTGGGACAGAGGCCACATCTGGAGCATCCCTCCTGCCCCAAGGCGTCAGAACCACAGCCCGACCTGGTGGGGCACCGATGGGCACCGCGAGCACCCGCCACTTCCCCTGGGAGCCCTGGCTCTGGGCCAGTCCTCCACACCTTCCCCAGGAGCGTGGCCACGTGGCTCTGTGGTCAGGGAGCCAGGAATCTGGGCAGGGAATGCCCAGAACCCTGCGTGGTGGCTAGTCATCGCCCTGGGCAGGGTCGCCAGGACAGAGGGAAGGAGGAACCAGTAACCTGGGCGAGGCCCACTGCAGCCCAGGGCTGGGGAGGCCAGGGCTGGGAGGCCCGGGAGCTCTAGGCACTCGCGAGCGAGCCGCTGCCGGGGCCCCTGCCTTGGCGCTGCAGCTCCCCTTGAGGGGGAGCAAGGTGAGCAGCCCAGGCAGGGCCCAGGAGCAGCCCCCAGCTCCAGAAGTGGTGGAAATGGCCCAAGTCACTGTGACTCACTTTCCAGACGCTGGCTCCCCCTGGCCGAGCCCTTGTTGTGGCTGAGCCACCCCAAACCTGCTCTCCGGCTCCGAGCTCCAGGTGGAGTTAGGGCCTTCAAAGGCTCTGCCCCCCCCCCCGGCCCCACTCCCCCACCTCCTCCCTGGTCCTGACACAGGGTCCAGAGGGAGGGGGTGGGGCTGTGTCTGGAGGTGAGGAGAGCCTGGCCCAGGACTGATGGCACTGTGGCCACAGGTGACGTCACCAAGAGCCTGAAGCATCCCCAGAGAAGAGAGAACTGGAGAGCAGCGGCGGGCGGGCGGGCGGAGGGAAGGCCAGGCAGCTCTCAGGAAGAAAAACAGGAGCAGGCCGAGGGGAGGGGGCTTCCCGGGCACAGGCCTCACCACAGCCCTGAGATTTACTGCTGCAGTCAGCACTGGCCCGCAGCCCACGCCAGAAACCAGCCTCCCTCCTGTTTGGATTAGCGATGACATCACGGCCACGGGCCAGCACCAAAGGAAGCGGAGGACGGCTGGAAACCTGAGCCTGGGCCAGGCCCGCAGGCCAGGGGAACCTGAAACCACCAACAGGCAGCCCCCAGCAGCCCGCGGAGGAGCCGGCCCCTGGGCCTGCCCCCTCTGGGCCAGCTGAGACCCGCTTCCTGGAGAGAGCCAGGACGGAGGGGCACTGGCTTCCCATCACGGCTGGCTGGCCCTGGTCCCCAACCCGCCCATGAAAAGCAGCACATGACCACATGCCCAGGGCCAAAAGGAAATAGTCTGGGCATGAGGAAATCAGCGGCAGGCGGGGCCTCCCTCCCAGGCCTCCCGCACCCGCTTG